AACAAGCGTCACATACACCCTACGCGAGCTAGGTATACGTGTATATATATATATATATATATATATATATATATAGATACTTAGTGACGATGTTATACACAGCACGGCTGGGGAATGTATATTGGATTTAATTTACACGACACGCAACGTACATCGTGTATAGTAAGAGACCGCCGCCGTTGAGCAGCTGCTACCGGTGTCGCGTTACCGTTTTCCAGTATATTACACCGATAAAACAAAAAAAAAAAAAAAAGGAGAAAAAAGGACCGATTTCCGAACGACCACACCGCAGCGCTAAACGATTTCAAACGAACCGAATCGTCGCGTCTTATAAATCTTGCCGGTCGAAATGTACACACATATGTATATATAAATGTACGCATCTGACTGTGATGAACTTGCGTCTGTGTGCGTGTGTGAACCCGAATCCGAAATATTTAGGGTAAAATATGAACATGCATATATTTTAAGGGTGTTAAACTTATAGAGCGATTAATCACACAGCGGATTTGTAAAAACTGCCGTGTTTACTACAAACACGATTTGAAATGAGAGAAGCCGCTGCACTAAACATCGCTTGTGAGAGTCGAGAACGTCTGTTGTAAATTATATTTTCCGCTTCACTCGAACTCTCTGTATCTATCTATCTCTCTCTCTCTCTCTCTCTCTCTCTCTGTTGATCCGGGTATTTAGCCCGCTACATGCATATTATACAGGCCTAAGCACTGAGATTAACGAAAACACATTTCAAAGTATTATATGTATCATTTGCGTATTATAAACATATTATGTGATTCATATTATTTTCTAGTAGTCCGCTCAACGGAAACACGCACAATAAACGCTACTAACCTCAAATATAATTACGATTTCATCAATGTACAAAAGTACATTTTTCTATAAAACTGGAAGATTGTTACGATGTTTGAAGCGAGTAGCAGTACAACGAGTTGGCAATATTAGTAAATGTTTTTTATAATCTTTATTTTGCAATCTGATTTACATATAATTGAAAAAAAATCATAATTTTGATTATAACCGTAGGTATGGTCGTACATATGGGAATGACACTTTAAAAACTTATCAATTCGTTGAATCTTTTTATATGAAATGTTCTTTTTAAGTTTCGACTTAATAATGTAATATAATATATAAAGTAACAGTGTTAAGCATATATATTGAAATTAAAATATACGAATATGTGAAGGAGTATACACATTACCGTTATCTGTAATTCAAATTTTCCAATTAATTATAAAATTCTGATAGTGTCTTAAATATTATTACAAAATAATTGGAATTAAAAAATATGAGTACCTGTTTATATTATATAATATATAATTTTAATACTAGTAAAAATTGTTTATTATATTTTATAGGTATTAAAATAAATCAAAAATATTATGTTTTTGATGTGAACAACATTTTGAATATTTTAATTATTATCTAATTTAAATTTTTCGAGTGACGGGTTGGTGACTGACCACCACATTTTTATTTACTGCTTCTCTCCTTATACTTTTCATTAAATGCAACTACCACCGATTTGGATAAACTATAGGATAGTAAACTTCGATGACCAGCTATATCTGAGATCGTCTTAACACTCATAAGCTTCCACGATGTCAAAACAATAATAAATTAGTATTGACAATTGTTATTTACATAACGATTTCAGAATAAAAATATTTTATTTATTTTTTCATATCGAGCACGCAGAATATTAAGTAAAACCACAAATGTATGACTAGCTTAACATTCTAATTGCACGTACTACAAACGTAATACATTTGATTCAAACTACATTTTTAAACGTATTAAACATTTATTGATTTTTAAATTGTATTCATTAATTTATATATATAAAACCTTTTTTAAATCTTCGAATACAGTGATAATTGCTACTGTTGGTTTCTGTTTCTTACCATGGTCGAACACAAACAAAATATAAAAACCTTAACTAATCAATAACATATTAAATTCTTATAATATCAAACCGTATTTTATACCTTAATTATATTTGAGAATATGGGAAGAACACAAAATCTCAATTATAATTTTTTGAACTTTTTTTACCTCTAAAAAAACTATTAAACAAGAAGTGTAAATGCAGACATTGAAAGTTCTCAGAATTTGTACACAATTTTTAATCTTTTATGAAATATAGAGGTATATTCGTATATTTTCTGCAAACTATTACACTGTAATGTGCTAAAAAAAATACATTATTGTAAGATCAATAAAAAGAAAACAGTTTCCTCGTACAAAGCAAATCGTTGTGTAGATACATCCACACCTTTTTTATGGAATGTATAGGGACGTTGGAGGGTTGAATATAAATGCGCATTGTGAAAGAACCCTTAGGGGTGGACCACACAAATGACGTGGGCTATGAAAGCTCTTGTCAACTTTAAAGTTTGCTAATGAGAATCCCCTTGAGGAGGATGCATCATTTGGATCCAATACCCATCATTTTATACAGTAATTTACGAGAAAAAAAAATTACATACAAAGGGTGACATTATAATAACTGCCACGTGAGTTTAAATTAAGAATAGAATACTATCAAAACACTAACATATTTTATTATTATTACGTAATATTAGAAAAAGAAAAAACTGTAACAGTAAAAATATTATTTCAAAATAATATTTATTACCGGATTTCAATTATGCAATTACCACATCCAACAAAAATATTAGTATAGATCAATAAAATTCTGTGATACTTACAGAAATAATTAATATATTTTACAGTTGTTAAATTTAAAGGTGTACGAAAAATATTTTATTTAGATTTTATTGATTTCTGCTCAGTGAAATCCATATTTATACCACTCATTGTTTTCAAACCAAAGAGTATGACAGTCTATGACATGGATTATAGTCAAATATTGTTAATTATGATAAAACATACATTAGAGACAATATCGAATTTTTTATAATTTTATCAACTTAGGTACTTCTATTAAAACAATATATGATTTAAATCTAAATTTAAAATGTATATATTTCACTTGTAATCCTATTAATATAATATAAAAACACATAATCTTATATATTATTCTAATGCAGTCAATAATATATACTCGTAAGTTTCAGACAATAGTACAACTGCCATAACCTGAGAAATTATTAAAAAAGAAAATATAGCACAAAAAATAATTAAAACTAAAAATAATATTTTAAAAACTCTAAATTATAACTAACTCAAATCACAAATTAGTGCAAGCTTTCATTTAAAAACTGATGAGGTTTACCTACTATTGACATTAACATGAAACCGAATTTGATTTTAATATCACTATCGTTTTCTTGTTAACCCATCTACAACGATTTACTGTTTATAAAATCTTTCTTTCTTATGTTTATATCTAATTCAGAGTATATTTTATAAAAAACAAAATCTATTTAGTAGTTTCAAATTTAGTGTTATAATGATCTCAAATTGCAATATTGCAATATTGTTATTTTAACTATGTAAAATTTAATTTTTATAGATTCTTATGATTTAATATGAATCTTAAAATGTTTATAATAAAATAAAATTGTTACACTTTACTAAAAATAAATTAAACACAGTCAGATCTAGAAAGAGAAAGTTCTTAAATATTTTTCGATTTTTCTGTACAGTACTATACTAGAATACATATTTTACGTTTAATTGTTTGTAATTAAATTTAAAAAAAAATTAAAAGTATGAAACATAATATAACTACAATGTCAACTATTATTTATTATGATAATGACTATATAATTAACATAAACTTAAATTAATCTTTATCCTACATCAGTCCCTTATCAAATTTTATAAAAATGTTACACAAAATAAAGTTATTCTAAAAGTTGTCGAACTTGAATATGATTTTAATAATTGTATTTAAAATAATATTCTAAGCTTAGGTTAACTCATCCAAAAATAATTAATATTTTTTAAAATTAAGTGTAGTACCTACTAAATTTAAATTTTTAATATTTATTGCAAGCTTTTTAGGTCCGTTTTTAATAATATAATTTATGGTGAAAAAAATAACAATAATAAAAGAAATTTTTCAACGACTTTAATTAACTTAATTACAAAAATTTTTTTAAAAAATTAAAAATATTTTAATTTAGTAGAAAACAGACTATTTGTAAGTTTATGATTGATTTACAATAAAACCTTTTGAGGACTTATACCGTAACTCAAATATCATTATAGTTAAAAATTGAAAATTGAATTTCGCATTTCATTATAAGGTAATTGTAGACAATATTTAACTCCAAAAAAATAAAATACCTCTTAATATATTTTTATATCTAAGTATCAATCTCTTAACACAAAATTATAATACAAAGAAAATAAGAACAATCGATTTTAAAAAAGATTTTTTTACCGTCAAATACTTAAATAAAATGTAAAACGCCATTTTTTAACTATCTAGTAAACGATTCTAAACTTTAAAAACGTATAGTATTGCTTTGAAATCACGTAGAATGCACTCGTCTAGTCGAGTGTTTACATTTTTTAAATGCAATTCCAAAATATGTTTTTACGTAAAAATACGTTAAAAGGTAGTAAAAATATATCGCGATTGTAAAATAAGTTCACGCGAAGAGAAAGCACAGATAGACATTTAAAAGTTTTCGCGGTACAAGAAGAAAAACGCATAGAATGTTCGAGGTGTCAATAACACGTTAACGGTGTTGAAGAATATGTATTAGGTTAATATGCATTAGATTTGCACCACTGCGCTTGAACAATAGGTTAGCACCTATATCGTACACGATGAAACGTACCCATATCGTAATAACCGAAATCGTTATCGTTTCGAGGAGAAGAACGCGGACGAGAGGAGGAGTCGTTTGTTTCGCGTCGCGAGCTACATACCGGCATTATGGTATCTATGTTATTATGGGTTTTTTTTTTCTTTTCTCTCGATTATCTGTTCACTTTTCCGCGAACGGTTCCCGGCGGTGTTGCGCGCGGAACGGTGCAGCGGTAATGTTGGCTGTACTCACCTACGGGCTTCTGCGCGACCACGGGCCTCTTTCGTGCTGCGAAACTCGACGACACAGCGGAAACACGCACGGCGTTATGACGCGCGACCCGAGATGACGGCGACGGCTGTGCGGCGCGTACTGTCCGACGTGTCGCGGGCCGAACCCGTTTCGTCCGGCTGAAGCGGTTACGGCGAGATGATAAAGCTGGTCGACGACCGACGGTGGATACGTTACGTACGTGTTGGGGCCTCAACGGCGGTTGTGGATGCGACGGGATCGCGTTGTCTGCCGCGGTCGTCGTGCCGGCGCAACGCGGCCGTTGTCGTTAGGCAAACGGAGGAGCAGCGAAAATATAATGTTTTCGACTCTATTTGAAAGCGCGTACGTCGGGGGGCGCGGAGCGAAAGAAAAAAAAAAACCGCCGCCGGAACCGGGTGGTGTGGTCTGCACTGAGTCGACCGTCGTCGTCGTCGTCGTCGTCGTCGTGCTGCCGGCTGATCACCCGCCCGCGGATGCTGCAGTTGGCGGCCGGCGACCGGGCGGGGCGGCGACCGCCGCGGCCAATCGCAATCGGCTGACGGTGATCGTCATCGGCTCCGCAACCGCCGCCGCCGCCGCCGCCGACGACGACGACGAGGACTCACGGTGGCCGCTGCCTGCGTGCTCGCGCGTGCGTCCTTCCGCCCGCTTCTTTTCCGCCCTTGGTCCTGTCACGCGGATCCGACGTGAAAAATCAAAAGCGTTTTCTCATCTCTGGTCTACAAAATGTTCACAACGATAATATATTATTATTATTATTATTAGTGTTAGGGGCTGCTGCAGCTTTTATTTTATGGTTTGTACCGTGATCATATAATTTTAAATTATTTATGAATTTCATCAATTATTGCTATTTAAAACGAAATATAAAAAATGTGTGTGATGTATAGATGTGTTCCTACTTCCTGTATAACTTAAAGTTAAATTTTATCTTATTATTAATAATCATAAAAATAAAGTTGGAACATTTTCGTGTATGATATGTCTGTCGAGTCCAAATCATTTTTCGTATACGCTACACAAAGGTTCAACGAATATAACAGACATTTTTCGGTCATTGATTCACAGACCGTCAAACGAGTAAACATCGATACCGGTGATAAAAGCTTATTTAATTCTCTATTTTATAACTACGATGACGAGAACTGATCATAAGGATAATTTAAGAGGTCCTGCACGATTCACACTTTATAACTCTAAGGTCGCTTTAATCTCGAACAAATGACCACGATTACGAGTGCTGAAAGATAAATTAAGTACAACAGTTTCTTGCTACCTTTTACAAAAGTATTTTCCCGCCGTAATCAACTCAGTACATACATCAGAGATAAGATATTCCAAAAAAGAAAAATTTTAAAATGAAAAAAAATATCTTTTAGTTAAAACAAAACTGGAATATAATAAATTCAATCTTACAATAACACAAAACAATTAACTCTTTATCAACTAGTTATGACACTTTATGTCTGCCTGACCTTATGTTATCTTTGAAATTTGGTTAACTTAAGGGTGTATATGTCATAATATGTACTTCCTGTTTGCGCTCGTGTGGGCGATGTTTTTTATATATCTTTAATTAAACAGTTACTATCTATACACCTACCATGTTTTGTCAATTTTTTGAAGCATTATTCAATTAATAATACATTTAATCTAAAAACAATTCAATTTATTGAAAACAAATCAAATGATAACGGATTTAGAGTTAAATAATGAAAATTAATAACAACCAGTACCAGTGAGTAGATGGGGCAGGAAGGGAAAAGCCCCGGGTCCCGTATATATACGAGTATGATAATATTTGTATAGATTAAAACAATGTGAAAACTAAAAATGTATACATTTTTTATTTATTTCTAAAATAAACTGAGTTTAAATAAAATCAACGAGTAACAAAATAAAAAGTCATAATTGTAAGTATACTTCACATATACTACAAATTAAAATATTATAATAATTTTAAAAAAAAAAGTAACACATTTTTGTTTTAATTTGACATTTTAATTGATTTAAATATTGTTTATTCTATTCTTAGCTAAACATAAGATTCAAAATACAATAAGTCACTTTGCTCCTATTTTAAATTAAATTACGCCCTGTATGGTAATTTATTTTAAAGTACACGTTTCAAGTTATATTTCATTACTATAACTGTATTGTTTATCTAATACTTGTCGATTAAGATTACTTTAAAATTATTAAATTGATTATGGTCATTCGATGATTGAACAATAATTATATATTATATGAGCTACATATTTAGTGTGAAATACATTGATACTGACCATGGTTACATCTAATTATTATTGATGCGTAATGAGCAAATGTCAGCTTATGTATTTTTATCACTTTTGCCGACAAAATATAATACTATTTATAACTACTAAGAAATGTTTTCAGTATCATATATTAAGTTTATTTTCAAACTTTCTACGAACCTATCAATCATGAAAGTTTTAGCTATTGAAATTAGCTGATTTAAAATAAAATCGGTTTCATTATTTTAAGTTGTATACAAATAATTACAAGCTGATGTATATCATTAATGTACCATTAAAATCAACACGTTTTAGCATTGTTATACTAATGCCAAATCGTATTTTTGTAACTTTGTTTAATTCTTTAAAAATGGAAATTTGTATAGATAATCAAGGATGTTACGTTTGGTACGCTTTTTATACAATATATCCTTCCTAAATCGTATACTTAAGTATGTAATTACATAAATACATGATAAAATTAAATTAATTAATTATTATTGTAAAAATACAATATCAACATTCACACAATACTAAGGTGCAAAGTCAAATTTATAAAATAATGAATGTGAATTGATAATACGATTACGTATAATATATTTATAATATATTTACATATACATTACAACAAAATTATTATATATAATTACATAATAAACTTAAAATTTATGTTACATGATAAAAAAAAATCGAAAAATAATAAAAGTACAATAATGAACTAGTATCATTGTCTAGTCTAAATAACTTGTAAATGTTAATTAATTTAGTTTACTATAAATTTCATAATATTTATTTATAAATACATATATAACTAATTGGCAATTACAATAATTTAGTTGTAGACATTAATTATTGTACCTAATATTTAAATCAATAAAACATTTTGTAAACTATATGATATTTTAATTAAAATTTTATCAATACAATATCAAATATAACATTTTATTTTATATTAGCCAGTACACAAACAAATAAATCAATTTCTATAAATTACATAAATTCCTTGTTGTATAACAGCGTATCAGTATACATGCATAAGTGCACGTCACACATAATTTGGCTTGTGCAATGATTATATAGTTTCTAAAAATATCATTTCCGAAATCAATTACCGCGTGTCAGCAGTTTTCGTTAAATCCGGGTGCAAATGTCAACATTGCCCGAATAGGGAGGTATATCCAAGTATCCATGACGACGGCACAAACTGCTTCCTCCACCTCTTATCCCATCACCAAGGTCCTTCCTTGTATTCTCATGTACAGATATACACATATATAGAATGTCTGTTTGTTCGGCTATTTTCCAGCAATTAGACTTGTCGGGTAAAAAACAAAAATGGCAAAAAACAGAAGTACACTTGACTGTCAGTTCTCAGTTTTCATTGTTCTAATGAACGGTTATACTTGTATGGGGTGAAAAAATAACGATGAATAAGAGTAGATATAAAACCAAACGACCAATTACTGTATGAAGTAGGATAAGCGAATATCGAAGTTATTAGTTAAAAAAGTTAAAATTCAAAGTTAAAATAATTATTTTATGCCAATTAATGATCAATGAATGAAAAATATATTTAATACAATAATCAAATATGTAAAATTTTAAGCGGATATTTACAACGTCTAATTACTGTAATAACGTGGCACGCTAATAGTACAAATGCATATTTTTAATGATATTAAAAGTAATATAGTTATGTTGTAATAGTTAAAATACTATATTACTACTGATACCATACTACGAGAAAAAAATCGACTCTAAAATTACTCGTAAGTATAAAAATGATTATTAGTACTAAAAATTTCACTGTTAATAGACGATCCAAACAATATGGAATGTTTAAAGATTTTAAATATTTTAATTTAATAACTTATTCCCATTTACAGAAATTCAGTATATAACAAATATTTTTATCCTATTTAAAATCGATGTAATATATTTAGATATTGGAATCCTTATCAAATAAAATTATTTGATTAAATTAAAAAAGTTAAAATGTTGAATACAACTTTAATTTGATCTTAAAATGTATATGATATCTATACTTAAATAATAAATGGAGGATGAAAATCCTAGGTCATGTAAGATTCTACGTTCGGATATGGTACTAGTGACAAGTAAATTATACTGTGTGTATTGGTCTTTAAAACTTTTAAACGATGTACCGTTACTCTAAAATAAACGATTATTAACGAAAGAAGTCGAGATAAATCAAAATGATACATTTTGCCGACTTATTTTTTTACTTTTCGTCAGTTTTTTGTGATTATTATGAAATCTACTGAAAACATCGAAAGTTGACTTATTTACTTACTCTGTGAGCGATTTTCTGTTTAAAATGTGGTTAAATAAAAAGGTTTTGAATAAATTTATCAGTTATAACTTGAACAAATGTTTGCAGAACAAAAAAAAATATATTCTAAAATCAATAGATTCCTCTCTTTGCTCTAAATATAAATTATTCATTTAATAAGTATACTTAAACGATTTGAAAACTATATATTGTAGATCATTGTAATATTTACAACAAACAATTACAGACAACAGTGTATAAATCAATACTTGCTCAATATTCATAAAACTAATCGTGACTGCGCATTATTTATACAGTAGTATTTTTTTATAAGCATATTTTGTAGTTTCGTACTTATTTATACGAGATTTCACATTAAATTAACATACAAATTATGAAAATTATTAAAACAATATATTAGTTATAAATTATGCAATATAACTTTTAATTAAATAAAAGGTTACTAATAGTTGACTAGATTAGGTTAGGGTTACAACAATATTTCATCTACAGTTATTGAAATTATTTTTCTATTTCAATAGATTATAATGGATCAGGTTTATAATTTTCAGTGAGCTAGTGTCTATGTTTTAATTTAACGGTATCGCAAATCGTATTACCACCGATAGGATAATCAACAATATAGGCAATATAAATAACATTAATGTAAATAAGAAACCGTTTTTTAATTTAAATATTCAGTTATAAATGTTTCAAACCCAGCTTTTGAGTGGTTTCCGGTAAAAAACGTCTTCATTAAACTGTGTTATTGCAAAACTCTACCTATAGAAGGCCATATGAACATATATTTCATCCCTTAAGTAGTAGTAAGATCTACTCAGGCCGACTTCAGCTTTATATGATACACTACAATCA